CAGCAATTAACCACTAGGAAGAATGTATGCAATGTGTTAATTATTGAAACTGTCCTACCAATTTGATTTGAAACTGTCTCATTGCTATTTGCTTATCAATAAAATTATGGGAAAAAAATAAAGGGTGCCCTGGGGAGAGGAAAACATGACTTAGGAATACAAGGAGTGTGTGTCTTTAGTGGGTTACAGTGGGTACCCGGAGGAGGGACTCCAGGGGGCAGGTACTTCCGGCTGCCGCAAGCACCACGTTGCTTAGCCAGCTAGCAATCTGCTACCTGCTCCAGGTGACCCTGGGGCTGCCCACCACATGGGAGACAGGGACCTTCCCACTGCCTTCTGCTTCCTCGTGCATCCTGAGACACTCCTGGCGCTCTTTCCTGAGCCCCTAATTTCATACTCCAGACACCCCCCACTCTCCCAGGGCCCCAGGCTGAGCTCATTGCCAACCTTGCCCTTTGTCCTAAGCCTCAGCACCCTCCTGAACTCACGTTCTTCACACCCACAGGCCAGCTCCTGTCTGGGGCTAAACCTAACCCCCAAGTCTACAGAGACCTCCTCAGCAGTGGCTGCCAGGGGGGCGAGCTTGCCGCCTGCTTCACGGAGCTGCGGAGGAACTTCGTGAACACGCGCCCGGCCAAACTCAAGAACCTGATCCTGCTGGTGAAGCACTGGTACCGCCAGGTGAAGCTGCTGCTCGGGAGGGTCCCAGCTCCAGACGCATGACTGTCTGCCTTGTGCTTTCAGGATAGGGAAGGCATTTCCTTATGTATAGGGCCATTCATGTTCTCCTTCTGGGAAGCTCCCTTCCTATTCTTTGTCACTTTGTGCCTTGTTTATCTTGTTTGTTTGTTTTTTCCAGTGGTACCAGAACCTTCGAACTCAGGACCTTGAGCTTGCCAGGCAAGCACTTATTCCACTGAGCTATCTCGGCCCAATCTGTCTTCTTGTTGATGATTTGTTGCAGCTCTTTCTATATTGTAGATACTTGTTTTCTTTTACTTGATAGAATTCTATTCTATTCTCCCAGTCTGTGACTTGTACTTTTGCTTTAAAATTCATTTGTTATGGGGCCAGAGAGATGGCTCAGTGGAATAAGCACTTTCCTGGCAAGCGCAAGGGCCTGAGTTCAATCCCTGGTTCCGCCAGAAAAAATAAATAAATAAAAATAAAATAAAATTCATTTGTTAGTGAAAATATGCAAATGTCGATGTCATGAAACATATTAGTCTTCTTCTTAAATGTATTCTTTCTGCGTCTGTCTTAAGGATTCTTCCCCTGTCCCAAATCGTACTCCCACGCTTCCTGTGCAAAGGCTTGCTTTTCTTGTTTTCTTTTTTTGTGGAACCAGGGATTGAACTCAGACCCTTGCGCTTGCCAGGGAAGCGCTTATTCTACTGAGCCATCTCCCGGCCCCAAGGCTTGCTTTTCACAGCTAGGACTTTGAGCCACTGACATGAGGGAGCATTGAGCTTAGACACTTCCTGCCCAGCCTCGGGCAGCCTGCCTGCATTGCTCATGCTTGTTGATGGAGTGTGTACCTGGAGCGGGTGTGTCCCACCTGTGTCGACAGAGGAGGAAATGAGTGACCCCGGGCCTCAGATCACCCATATCAGGGCGTGTATATCAGCCATCAGAGGCCAGTCTGGGTATGAGGCGAGCCTGGGCTCCATTTCTGCTGTGGGACCCTGAGCAAGCTCCTGCCTTCCCTGGGCCTCCGCTTCCTCCACTTGCCCATAGAGGAGTGCGTGAGCCTGTCAGTCTTTCTCCAGCTTTTCCCAGGTAAACAGGCTGCTCCAGGGACAGGAAGTGTGAGAGCCTGGTGCTTACAGAGAGGGCCAATGCTGGAGCTTTTTTCCTGGATGCTGGAAGGATTCTAGCGGGATCTGATGAGGGGACACGAGTCACAGCCCAGAGAGGCTGAGCTCCATCCTGCTGGACTCCTCTAGACAGGCGCGTCACCTCCTGGTGAACATCTGCTCTGACACTGCCTGGCCAGCCCTGGCATCTTGCCCAGCTGATTTTCCACCCTTCATGGCCCGTGCAGCCCCTGGATTTAAGGGGCTGAGTAAATGGCGTGTGAGGACAGGGGGAAGGAGGCAGGGTACTGGAGGAACAGTTTGAGCTTCTCTACACACACACACACACACACACACACACACACACACACACACACACCTGCCTCCTGGGGGCTGGAAACTCGTCCCCTTCCTATAATAGAAGCAAAGCCCCAAGCCACCAGCAGAGAGGACAGATGAGAATGCTGTAAAGCAGGCAGTCCCTAGCTCAGCGTCCTCATGGGGGCGCCAAGAGCCAGCAGAGCTCTGCCCAGTGGCTTCCCCCACCACTGAACCCTCTCCCGCCTGTTCCAGGTCTGCCCACAGGAGGCCAGGATGAGGACACTGCCCCCTGTCTACGCCCTGGAGCTGCTCACCATCTTCGCCTGGGAGCAGGGCTGTAGGAACCCTGCCTTCAGCCTGGCCCAAGGCCTCCGCACCGTCCTGGGCTTGATTGAACAGTACCAGCACCTGTGTGTTTTCTGGACCGACAACTACAGCTTGGAGGACCCCATGGTTGGGAAGTTCTTGCTGCAGCAGCTTGAGAGACCCAGGTAGCTTCCAGGACCACGTGGCTCTCCTGGCCCTGGGTCATGGGGAGCTGGCCACCAAGGGGAGCTGGCCACCAAAGGGAGCTGGCCACCAAGGAGAGCCCAGGGCCCTTCTGGGGAAATGGAAGGCTGTGCTTTCAGGCCCAGATGCACATTAGATTTGCCTGGGGGACACTGGGAAAATACAATGATGCTGAGGGTACACGCTTTGTGCGAGTCTGTCTTACTGATGCACAATACGCACAGACCTGCGAAAGTGACATCACCACCCAGTTGCTGCAGATTGTCTCCAGCACACCTCTCTGCCAGTGACGCCCCAAAGACGCCCTATTCTAACTTTGATAGTTATAATCTTTCCTATTCTTAAGCCTTAATTCCATGTAGTTGGACAGTATGGCCCTTGTCTCTGGCGTCACTTTCTCCATGGTGAAGCCTGTGTGATCTATCCGGATGTTTGTGTGTGGCTGTGCCTCGTCCCTTTTCATTATTGCATAATGTTCCCTGGATCTTTAGCCATATGAGCTGTGCCCAATTGATGGCAGATGTTGGGGTTGTTTCTAGTCGGGACCTAGACACGATTGTTATACGTGATCAGCCTTGTACATGTTTTGGATGTGCGCCCATCAAATGGTTTAGCAGTGAAAGTTCTAAACCACAGTATATAACTCAGGGTCCCTTGACCCTGCTGTCTTAGGACTCTAATCTGCAGCCACAGGTCAAGATCATGGCTCCAAGTTATCTCTGCATCAGGCCAGAGAGTGGGCATCCTTGTCCTCATTTTGCAAATGAGGAAACTGAAGCTCAGAGACACTCCACTGTCTGTCTTGGTCACACAGCTGGAAAGTGCAGGGTTGGACTGGAACCAGTACTGCTAGACTCTACGCCCCTTGCTAATCGGAACCTCATCTCTCTGAAATTGCAGGCCTGTGATCCTGGACCCGGCTGACCCCACGTGGGATGTAGCCAACGGGGCAGCGTGGCGGTGGGATGTGTTGGCCCAGGAGGCTGCATCCTGCTATGACAATCCATGCTTTATACAGGCGACCGGCGACCCTGTGCAGCCCTGGGAGGGGTCGGTGAGTCAAGGGTTCCCCAGAACTCTCAGGTTTACACATAGTTTATGTGCCCGGTGTTTCCTGAGAATCTACTACGTGCCAGGGGCCAGTGGTGTGGATTAGGACTCTAGCAGGGGCAGCAGGCTTGTCAGACATCCTGCTGTCTAGGTGTAGCCACTGGCAAGGAAGGGGACCTTTGCACAGTTTGTCCCCACACAGCAGCTCCTTGTCCTTATCTGCACTAAACTCCCATGTCTCTGTTCCCCACACTGAGCCCCAGTCACCCCAAGTGTGCGAAGGGAGGAGGCCACCAAGGGGAGCTGGGTGGGCATAGAAACCTGTGTACCCACTGAGGCAGCTCCTGCAACTCCCTTCCAGGGCCTTCCGTGTGCTGGGAGTGCAGGCTTGAGCCACCCCGTCCACCCAGACCTGGCTCAGAGACTCCCTGAGGACAGCAGGAGCCGCAATGCCATGCCCCCAAGGGCAGGGAACAAGCAGCCCCCGTACCCACCTCCTGCCAGCGCTGCCTGCTGTGTGCCAGGTGTGGTCCCCGACCTGTCTCAGGTCTCTCCCAAGGACCTGGACCGCATCATCCAGGACCAGCTGAAGCCCAGCCGCCAGTTCCAGGAGCAGATGAGAAGAGGCATCGATGGCATCCTGTGCTGCCTCCGGGAGCGCTGTGTCAACAAGGTTTCGAGGATCAGTAAGGTGAGTCAGGCAAGTGAACAGAAGGACCGGACCCTCTGAGGTTGGGAAAGGGGGAGGCAGCAGTGCAGTCAGAGGATGGTACGTCCCCGGAAGGGCGGATTGCTGGCTGCAGGGAGACAGGTGCACCTTGACTTACAAGGCCCCATCCTGATAGAGCCAGAGGAAGGCGAAGGTACCATGACCACAAGTTCTCCACCTCCCTCCCACAGGGCAAAGCTTAGCCTTGCTTCCACGCACCTGAATGGTACATAGCCTGCGGCTGGGCACAGTTGTCCAACAGACCAGCTTCCAATAAAGTGTCAACCCTCTCAAGACATTTAGAGAAAGTCAGGATGGCCGTGGTCTGGGCTTTGAACAGATCCTAGATCTTAGATTCTAGCTGAAGGTGTCTAGTCTAGGACATGACCCCACCCCACCCCAGCTGTCCACAGCTGCACATGGAGCCATTTGCTTGTGCTCCTAAGAATCAAAGGTCACAGGTCACATGCAACCTGCCTCTTCCAGGTGTCCCCCAACTTGATGTCAGAAAGAGAACCACTTCCGGGGTACAGGTAGGGCATAGGTGACAGGATCCAATGCTGTCCCTGGGCCTGCGAAGAGGCCCTGGTCTGAGCCACTGTCCCCCATAGGGTGGCTCGTTTGGCCGGGGCACAGACCTAAGGGGCAACTGTGACGCTGAGCTCATTGTCTTCTTCAACAACCTGACGGGCTTCGAGGACCAGCGTCACCACCGTGCAGAGATCCTGGCTGACATGCGGGCCCAGCTAGAGTGCTGGTGGCGGGACCCAGTCCCTGGCCTCAGCCTCCAGTTTCCTGAGCAGATGGTGCCCGGGGCACTGCAGTGCCAGCTCAGGTCTGCAGCTCTCGGAAGCCGGATGGACATCGACCTGCTGCCAGCCTTTGATGCCCTGGGTGAGACGCGCCCAGCCTGTACCTGGGAGAGCAAGAGGGATCCAGGGCCCCAGGAAACATACACCCGGGCAATAACACCCCTTCTTATCCTCATCTTCCTACTTAACCAAGCGTGGAAAAGTACTTTGTAATATCTAAGGCAACCACCACCGTCAAATCTAATAGACAGTTATTGCTTTTCCCTTTGCAAAAATTTTAATCATGAAATGTTTTGAGCTTAGAGAAAACTCCAGACGCCACAACCCATGTGCTCCAACAGGGTAAAACAAGTAGTATCAGTCCAGCACAACTGCTTGGGATTATCTTTCATTTTTATTAATTAATTAATTTATGTATGGAAGTGCTGAAGGTTAGATCCAGGCCTTCACATTGAGCTATATCATCAGACTTCCCTACCCTTTTTAAAAAAAAATTTCATGTATGTATTTATATATTTATTTGGTGCACGGTCTCACTATGCAGCTCAGAATCATACTGATCCTCCTGTCTCAGCCTCCCCAGCGCTGGGATTACAGGTGTGCACCACCATGCCCAGTTTTAGTGGGCTGTGTGGTGCACCCGGGGTTTGAGGGCCAGCACGACATCAATACCAGGGATGGAGCCGTGTCCTTCTGCTTGCCAGGCAGGCGCTTAGACCAGAGCTATCTCCTCAACCCCTTCCCTATCCTTTAAAAAAAAAAATCATGAGATGGGGTCTAAGTTTCTAAATTGCCCAAACTCATCCCAAACTTTCAGTCCTGCCTCAGCCTCCCAGAGTGTTGGGATTATAGGCACCCAGTGCCATGCCAGCTGGGATTTTTTTTAAAAGAAATTTTCATGTGATAATTTCCTTCCTCCTTTTAGAGGGTTTATTTTAGGATTCATTTTTTCCTTCTTTGGGATGTGACTCTTAGCTTGGCAATTGTCAACCTTACTAAATGCAATTAACACCATCCATTTCCCTTTAAGCATGTCAGCAGGGTGACACACGTTTTGCTACCTATCACTTCTAATGTCATTCAGATCTAAATATTTTGAATTTTTAATTATGACCTTACAATTAGCTCCATCATCCGTGAACATGAGGAAGTAGGTTTCCAAATGAATGCTTTGGCTTTCTGCTCCTTTGTTAACTTGCAGCATTTACTTCTTTTTATTGTAGTCAGAAAATAAGTTTATGCTAACACTACACTGGCATTTGCTGCCACTTTTGAGCCTGAGACTCCATCTAAACACCTGTTTACCTGCACCATGAATCAAGCTGCTGAATGCCCTGGCCCTTGAGGTCTGCCCTCTTCTGGCCCCTGTTCCTTTGTTCTGAGTTCTTTGCTGACAAAGATCTTATCTTCACTGGAGTGCAATTTGTTGTTTGCTGTCTCTGTTTCAATGTCCCTTTTGATAGGGTGTCAGGCTTTCACTTGGCCCACAGAATTCAATTTCCCATTGATCCCTCTGCGCCCGATTTCTCTTTCTGCATCCTGTTCAGAATCTGCTGTACCTCCTGCATCGGAGAGCTCAATCCTCCCTGTAGTTCTGGGAATGTATCTCCCTAGGTCTCTTTGAATATTGCTTCTCCTCCATGTGCTCTACTTCTGAGACTCTCATGAGGTTATAACTCACTTGGTCTGATTTTTATCTCTCATTTTCCCCATCTCTGTTTGTTTATTTGAAAATTGTTATATTTGGGTGTGGCTTAGGCAGGGTCTCGCTGTATTGCCCAGACTGGCCTCATACTCACCAGCCTCCTTGCTTAGCCTCCCCGGTGGCTGGGATTACAGGTGTGCACCAACACACCTGGCCTCCCCACCTCTGTCTCTCAGCTTGTGCACTTCTCAGCTACTCAGATCCATGCTTCAGCTCACTAATTCTCTGCAAGCATGAATCTTGGTAGTGCGCTTCTAATCTGTGACAACTCACTGGACTGTCATCTTAACTGGCCTGAGACCCACCTAGGAGATTAATAAAACACACTTCTGCACATGTCTGGGTGGGACAGGGAGGTATGACCATGGGTACTATGTCTGCTCGCTCGTCCCTTCCTCTCTGTCACTGTTCCCTGGCTCTGCTCGCTACCCACCATGCATGGCATCTGTGCTTCTGCCATGATGTTTCTCTTGGCAACAGCCAACCATGAACTAAACCCTTACAAACTGCAAGCCAAATAACGCTCTCCTCCTTTAAGTTGTGGGTGTCATGTATTTTGCCCAGAAATGAGGAAGCTGACTGTTACACGATGCTTAATCCTTTTAAATTTCGATGTTGCTGGTTTTCACTTCTAGAAGTTGTTTGGCTTTTTTTTTTCTTCTGCCTCCATCTCCAGAGTGCTCAGATTACAGGTGTGTTGTGCCGCAACGCTCAGCTTAGTGAGCACCCGAGTTATGTGTATACTACCTCGGGAAGTACACACGGTACCACGCCGCAGGTGCGCGGTCAGGTGCACATCCTGCCCCAAGCACAAGGCGAGAGGAAAATGGAAGAATGAATGTTTACACAACCTGGCCAAATTGGGAGGGAGGCTGGTCGGCTCCCTGCCTTCAACAAGAGATGCGCTCCAGTTTGTTGAGGAGCTAGAACAAAAGCCAAGGAAGACCCCTTTTAGAGTTAGAGAACTCAAGTGGGAATGGGGTGGGGGCGTTGTAGGGCTGGGGTCCTGGGGCTGAAATGGTTTGCACTTTCACAGGAACCTTGGAGAAGCTGTTTACCTTTTTAAAGCTTTTCAAGATACATTTAACCCTCTTGGTTACAGTGCTGTTGCAAACACTTTGTAAATAAGAGACCTAGAGGTCAGGGAGATAGCTCAGCAGCGTAAGTGCCTGCCTGGCAAGAACAAGGTCCTGAGTTCCAGCCCTGGTACAAAACAAAAACAAAAACAACAACAACAACAACAACAAATATATATATATATATATATATATATATATATATATATATATATATCTTCAGGGAGAAGTGGACATTTGAGCTGAGCGTAGTGGTGCACACTTGTAATCTTGTCATTCTGGAGGCTGAGGCAAAAGGATTATTGCAAGTTCGAGGCCAGCCTGACCTATAAAGTGAGACCCTGTTTCAAAAAACCAAAAACAGAAAAGCGTGGAGATTTGAAGTCAGACTTCAGAGCCTGATTTTTGTCAAGAGTCTTGATAGGTTCGTGACCAAGCCCAGATACTAGAGTGTCTGTAGAAGTTATCAAACTGAATAATTGTGGAATGTCTGAGTTTTGAGAATGAAAAGTATGTGTCAAGAAGCCCTGCCTTGTAAAGCTTACAAGGAGAAAGCAGTGGGGCCGCCCGAAGTCTCGACATAGGACTTAGGGCCTGGCAACGCTAATTGTAAGGTCCCGGATGTGGGCAGAACAGCGCCCAAAACCCGCCGGGGACATCTCAGGAGAATTCGAGCAGGTTCTCAATGAGGCGTTGGGCCCCAGCACCGCCTCTCAGGACCTGCAGGTAGACTTTCTCACTGGTTTCCTCCAGATTTGGACTAAATAAGAGACACAGAGGCCAGGAGCTCTTGTGGCTTTGCCCGCCATAACCCACCCTGCCCGCCCTGCTTTCCCCCAGGGATTCTTTCATTTTGCTTTTTCTCTTTTACTCCAAGTGGACCCACCTTGCTCTGCAGAGCCTGTGCCTCTCAGTCTTCACTTTTACTTTTTAAAATACACTTCGCCAAGGCCAGCAAGAAAGCTCAGCACACTAAAGCGCCTGTTTAAGCAAGCTTAGGCAAGCAGAGGGACACAGTTCGATCTCAGCACCACATGCTGCGCCAGCCCCCAGTGCGGGCTGAGCCCAGAGTCTGGGCATGGTGGCACAGACCTGTAATCTCAGTGCTGCGGAGGCTGAAAACAGGAGGATCACTACGAGTGAGACCTTGTAACAACCAAATACATTTTAAAAATTAAAATGAAATAAAATAGACTTTGCCACATTAAAAAAAAAAGGTGCTGTTTATGAATCCCCCTTTACAGCTGAGAAATCTGAGACCTGAAAGGCAGTGTCACGAAGTTTGGATTTGAACCCAGGTCTCTCCAAAGCGCATGGCTTTTACCTCTATGTCTCACAGGTTTTCTGGATCAAAATTATCCCCCTTGTGAGTTATGAGGTAGCTTAGTTAAAGCATTGAAAAGCATCTAATTAGTAGTTGATTTTTTTTAAAAAAAGTCCTGCATTTACCCAATGCTGCGGTATATTGTTGGTTATAATATTATGTGATTAATGTTGAGCTAATATTGAATGGATGTTTGGAGATACACTGCTGTCTTCATTTCAAGTTGCAAGCTTCAAGTGTTTCAAACCTCCACAGGGCAGCTCAGTTCTGGCGCCAAACCTAAGCCCCAGGTCTACTTGGACCTCTTCAACAGCGGCTGCCAGGGGGGCGAGCACGCTGCCTGCTTCGCAGAGCTGCGGAGGAACTTCGTGAACATACGCCCGGCCAAACTCAAGAACCTGATCCTGCTCGTGAAGCACTGGTACCGCAACGTGAGTGCACGGGCCTGCTGCCCGGAAGCAGCTGGCAATGCCTTGGCCAATCAGCTCCTCCCTTACACAGATATGACATGTCCCGGCAACTGCTTCAGCCAATCAACTTCTCCCTTACATAGACCTGTCCTTTGGCTTACATAGACCTTTATTGGCTCTCCAAACGCCTACTCCGGGCTCGGTTTCCTGCCTGAAGGTGGTAGCCACCGAATCTTGTCTCCAGCAAGTGCAAAGTCCTCGCTTCGTGTACCCGGCGCTCAGCCCCTGGTCTAGCCTGTCTGTCTCCCGCCTGCCCGCAGTCCAGTTGATTTCCCCGCCCTTTCCCACCTCCAAGCTTTTGCATATGCTGTTTCAGCAATTATCGTGGCTTTTACAAGCTACGCCAAATGCTGAGCCGCCTTCAAAGCCCCCTTAGTAAATGCTTCTCAGAGTGCCAGCTCCTAACCTCGCACTCTTTCGCGGATCCAACAAACATCTGTCCAGCGCCCACCATTGCCAGGTTACTGGATTAGCGAGGTAGACACACTCACTCATCCACAACACCACCCACTCCTTGAAGGGAGGCCCGAGCAAGGCCATGTCTGATCTCTCAGACTCACTGAGTGACCTTGGGCATGTCAGCCCAGGACCCTCCGGGCCTCAGTTTACCTACCTGTAAAACAAAACCACCCACAGGTGATCACCAAAGCGCCGTTCTTTCTGTGGTCTGTTCTGTGTGGGGCCATGCTCTGCATGGGATGCGTGCCCACATCCGCTGATCCCTGATTGTCTTCATATCATAGGTGGCAGCTCAAAACCCAGGCAAAGAGCAAGCCGGTGCCTCTCTGCCCCCAGCCTATGCTCTGGAGCTCCTGACCATCTTTGCCTGGGAGCAGGGCTGCGGGGTGGAGCGTTTCAACATGGCCCAAGGCCTCCGGACCGTCCTGGGGCTTGTCCAGCAGCACGGGCAGCTCTGTGTGTACTGGACACTCAACTATGGCACTGAGGACCCAGCTCTGAGAATGCACCTCCTCGGCCAGCTTCGAAAAGCCAGGTGCATATCCCCACCCCCACCCCCACTGCCTGCCTTCACCCCGGAGTCTGTCTGTGTCCAGAAGTCACCCAGGGTGGGCTTTGGGTCCCCACCCACCCCTCAGCCTGATTCCCCCCGGATTCTGATGAAGGAGTCTGCCTACAGGAGCCATGGGTTTTTTTGTTTGGTTGGTTGCTTGGGTTTTTTGCTCTGAATGGCTTCAGGGCAGGTTTGGCTGGCTTGAGTTGCGAGGATCGAACCACAGCAACCTGAGCCTGACTGCTTTGTTGAAGCAGCCACTTAAAGAACTGAGCTAAGGGGCAGGCCCCCGAGGCATGGGTTTTATGAGCACAATATGATGTCATCTTTCTAACACAGGGGCCTCCCAGTAGCTTTCTGACTGAGGCCCCGGGCGGGCTGGGCCAAGCCTCACGCGCTTCCCCGTCCCTCCCTCCACCAACTCCCACCTCCCAACCCCTACTCTACCCAGGCCCCTAGTTCTGGATCCAGCTGACCCCACCTGGAACGTGGGCCAGGGCAGCTGGGAGCGGTTGGCCCGGGAAGCGGCAGCCCTGGAGTCACAGCTGTGCCGCGTGAGTGGCACTGGGACAGCAGTGGAGCCCTGGGATGTGACGGTAAGGGAGGGGCGGGCTGGCAGGTCCGCTTTCCCTGCAGTGTGCGTGTCCCTGGGTTCTAGGACACTTGGTGCCTGATGATTGAAGCTGCCCGTCCTCTGCAAAGTTGGCCTCCATGAAAGGCATAAATTGCTACATCCCAGCTGGGCCTGCGGGGGGGGGTGTGTAAAGGTGGGCCCAGCTCCACAGTTTACACTGCTGAGCCCCCATGACACTGAGCGAAAAGCTGCCTCTAGCTAAGTCCACATCTTCCATGCTCCTTCCCCATCCCTGCTGCTGTCCCCATTCCCTACCTCCCGCCGGCCTGTTCCCTGTCAGTCATGTACACCAGAATTCCCATGTTAGGCTCCACTGCTAGAGAAAAAGACCCAAGACCTAAGCTATTGGCAGCTCCCAGAGGAGTGTTGTAAGGTTCCATTTTTCAGTACTATAATGCAATGCCTGAAGCAGGCAACTTTATGAAGAAAAGAGGCTTATTTAGCTCACAGTTCGGGTCGGGGGGGGTGGGGGATCAGCGGGGTCCATCTGTTTGTCCTCCCCGAGGGTTTGTGAGAGGTTCGGCATGCTGGTCACCAAAACTGGGTGTGGTTGTGCACACCTGCAATCCCAGGGGGGGGGGGGGGGGTTCAAGATATATGGAGCCTATGTTAGCTCAGCTCTGGTGAGGATCCCTTGGTGATGTGAGATGAAAAGATCTCATTCCAAAGCAGGAAGCCAGAGACAGATAGTGGACCAGCTCTCTTTTAACAACTTCCTCCAAGGGTTTCTACCACAACAACTGCCTAATCCCTTCCAAGCCACGCCCCCAGTTAGTTCCACCTCTTAAAGTGACCACGCCTCCCACACTCCCAAGCCTCCAAAGAGTTGCGATCACATTTGCTATTCTGCAGCAGGGTCTCATGAAAAGTGCTTGACACTCGGCCGCCATGGGACATAGGCCCCATTACTGCACCCACTTACTATGGGGAAACTGAGGCTGGGGCAAAACCAGAACTTGAGCTCAGATCCCTCAGGACCTGACAACCAGCTGTGTAGAAGACAGCGGGGACAGGGCTGGAAGATTCCTTGGGACTCATGGCCCCAATAGGTCCCCCCTCCTGGTTCTCCCCACAGCCCGCGCTCTTGCACCAGACCCCCGCCAGAGACCTGGACAGGTTCATCAGCGACATCCTCCAGCCCAACCGCCAGTTCCTGGTGCAGGTGAACAAGGCCGTGGACACCATCTGCTCGTTCCTAAGGGAAAACTGCTTCCGGGACTCGCCCATCAGAGTGCTCAAGGTGGTCAAGGTCTGTCCCCGAGCCTGGGCCTGGGCTCCTGTGGGCTACACTTGCCGGGACACTGAGCTGGGTGTGGAGGAAAAGCCAGAACGCAGTCACAGGGTGGCGAGGGAGGGCCCAGAGACCCTGAAGGTCCCTCCTCAGTGCTGGCAATGCCCAGCTCAAAAGAGGTGGTTTTGCAACATGCTGGGGACATAACTGAAAAGGTCAGAACAGAGCTGCTTTTGGGCGCAGCGAAGGTCCAGGGCAGGGGGACCCGGGTTTCCTGTGTGCTGGACTCTGCTGTTTTTCAAGTAAAAGCACAACAGATTTATTTACAACACAACAGTCAACACTGTGATTTCCACAAGCTCTGCAGAATCAACTCTGCTGATTAGGTCAGGCCCTTCCCACATGCAGAGAGGAGACTGTTCTTTTCCTAAAATTCAGGTAGAAGGAGGATTGCTGCGAGTACAAGGCCAGACCAGGCTATATAGTGAGTTCATGGCCAACCTGAACCACATAGCCAGACCCTGTCTCAAAAATCAAAAAGAAACAAACTGCTAACATAAAACAGAGAGGGTAGGTGACATACCCAAGGCCACACAGCAGTCCTGCCTCAGAGTCCAGTGCCCACAGGCTGAAGGACGGCAGAGGCGACTGCAGGGCCCAGAGTTGAGCCGCCTGCCACCTCCTCCCCAGGGCGGCTCTTCAGCCAAGGGCACAGCACTGCGAGGCCGCTCAGACGCCGACATCGTGGTGTTCCTCAGCTGCTTCCGCCACTTCACTGAGCAGGGCATCAGGCGGGCCGAGCTCATCTCGGAGATACGCGCCCAGCTGGAGGCCTGCCAGCAGAAGCAGCACTTTGAGGTCAGATTTGAGATCTCCAAGTGGGAGAACCCCCGAGTCCTGAGCTTCACACTGACATCCCAGACCATGCTGGACCAGAGTGTGGACTTCGACGTGCTTCCGGCCTTTGATGCCCTAGGTGAGGGCCCAGGTGGAGCCTGGAAGGGGAAAGGCGAAGGCAGGGTGGGCCTAGACGGTTGCAGAGGTCGTGCACTGCACGACCTGGCCACCCCTGTTTGCACTGTTGAGGTGCAAGCTTATTGCAGGTTTCCTGCAAAGTGTCTTTCTAGCTCACACGAAGATGCCATGGGGGCAGCCAGTGCCCCAAGCTGGGTTCTAGTCCAGCAAGTCCCCGGGGGGACTTTCTGAAAGGAATGCCCCCCTTTGGCCTGACACAGGTGGGTTGTTCTGTTCACCCCATAAACACACTTACTCCGTGCCTGTGTCCCTTCCAGCCTCCAGGGGAGAGGGGCTGAACAAAGGGATGCAGCGCTCCACATCCTTTTATACCTACAGTGGGGGAAACTTGCTTGTGTCTAAATATATTCAGTTTGGGGGCTCTCAGTAGCAAAACAGTGGAGGAGAAGGTCACAGAAAATGTCTGTGTGTACCTGTCCAGTCCTGGTTTCCATAGCAAGAGTTTAGCTCTTCAGGAAAACCTCAGGGGCCTCTCCCAGGCTGCGTAGGACATGCAACCTGCAGGCGGTGCAGCACAGGTGGCTCCCTACAAGCTGGGGTGACCAGGGTGGGGCGCGCAGGGAGGGGCAGAGAGGGCATCCTGGCCCTCCCTGGATTGGAGGCTGGGCAACCCCTCCTGTGTGCCCCAGTGGAAGTCCCCATGGATCCCTCTGGGCCTTAGGAGGTCACCTGCTCAGGGCGTCCCAGGAGTCCTGACTCAGCCCCATGACAGTGGGAGACAGCAACAAGACTTTCATTGCCCTCTGCCTGCTTGCTCCCCAGGCCAGCTGGTGTCCGGCTCCAGGCCCGACCCTCGCATCTACGCAGACCTCATCCGCAGCTACAGCGTCCCTGGAGAGTTCTCCACTTGCTTCACTGAGCTCCAGCGCGACTTCATCATCTCACGGCCCACCAAGCTGAAGAGCCTGATTCGTCTGGTCAAGCATTGGTACCGGGAGATCCAGGTTCGGCATCCCCTGGGATACCTAGGAGGAGGCTGGGCTCAGCCACCCCGGGACCTGGACGGCAGAGCAGAGAAAGAAAAAGGGCCCTGTCCTGGACCTCAGTGGGTTTTCTTTTTTCTTTTCTTTTCTCTTCTTTCCTCTCCTCTCTTCTCCTCTTCTCTTCCCTTTTCTTTTCTTTTCTTTTTGAGACAGGGTCTCACTATGCAGTTCAGACTGGCCTTGAACTACATAACCCAGGCTGGCCTCAAACTCGCAGCCATCCTCCTGATATAGGAGAAAGAAACTCCCAGCCTGCTAGATGTCCAGTACGAGTTTGTGTCCTCTAAAATTGAAGGAGGAATTTAGGCACAATGGAGGTTAAGAACAGAATATGTTTACTGGGGGAAAGAAAGCTTCTCTCAGTGAGGGACAGAATGGGTCCAGGTTGGGTCACCAAGGACGCTGCTTTTTCTAGAGATTTTTATAGAGCAAATCCATGAGACAAGGTGGGTCCCAGGTAGGAAACATGGGAAATTGCAGTGGGCCTGAAGTGGGACAAAACTATGGCCAGCCAATGAGATTATGAGTCTAATTGCTTAGGTAAAATTGATTACATCAGTATCAAGTGGGGATGCAAGTCCTGCCACAGGGGGCGTGAATACAGAGCAGGGGATTTTCCTGTGGGGGTTGGCTTAGTGGTTCTTCCTGCCTTTCTCAGGGTGGTGGATGTCTATTTAGAATATCAATCCCTGATATGCATTCTTACAGTTGTGTGGGTGGGTTTATCTTTTTTCTAGCGATCTGGCCCCCAGCGGAGTTTCTTGTCTCTCCCATAGTTGTGCGGTATCTTGTCTTCTGCACTGGGTCTTTCAAAGGCCCAGCCCTATCTGACTGCTTACAATGTCTTTATCTAACTTAGCTGCCTAGAACATGCCTGCCTTAGCTTCCCCAGTGCCAGGATTACAGGTGGGACGTAGGTGGTTTTACCTGCAAAATGGGAGCAACACAACTGCGTCGCGGGGTCAGGTGCCGTGATGCCTCAGAAGCCAGTGGGTGCCTGGAGGTCCCAATAAAAGTTGGTGGTCATTTGCCATGTCCAGCAGGGCCCCTTCTGGGCCTCAGCTCGCTAACATGGGCCAACGCATCTCCTCTCTCCTCATGTCCCAGAGCAAGAAGATGCCCAAGGGCCTGGGCTCCCTGCCCCCCCAGCACGGGCTGGAGCTCCTTGCCGTGTACGCCTGGGAGCAGGGTGGGAGGGACCCCCAATTCAGCATGGCCGAGGGCTTCCGCACCGTCCTAGAACTCGTCAGCCAGTACCGACAACTCTGCATTTACTGGACCACCAACTACAGGATGGAGGACGAGGCCGTAGGGGACTTCCCGAAACAGCAGCTTCAAAAGCCCAGGTTCGAGTCTGCCCCACAGCCCAGAGCCTCAGACCCAGGGTCGCAGGGCTGAAAGTGGCTCCCTTCTAGAAGCGGTATTTTGGGCACCCCAGGGCCAAGCAGTCAGCCTCCCGGCTACCTGGAATAGGGTTTTCAGGTGAAATGTGACTCCATGGTCAATTGAGTTTCAGGTTAGTGATGAGTAACTTTTCAGCGTGAGTACCTCCTTGCTGGGATATACTTACTCTTTTCAAAATGTGCATTCACTGTTTACCTGAAGCGCAGCTCTACCTGGGCATCCTGTGTATGTATTTTTGCCATCCCACACCCTTGCCAACAGACCCAACAGGTACCTGAAATGTGTCTCAGGTTGTGAAATTCTGCCTGCTTCTGAACTGGGTGCAGAGATCCCAGAGATAGCTTCCAAAGCTTGTGATACATCTCCAGCCAGTGGGTGGTGGTCACATAAAGAGAGGTGCTGAAACTGACACGGTGATCTGCATCTACTAGAAGGAGCAGCCTAATCAGTTAGTGGTGTCTGCCCTAGCTGCAGGAAGGGAAAGTGATAGACTAGTGCTGTGATTGATTGTGAGTGCCTGCTGTACCTGTGAAGTGGATGCACTGCGATAGATTAGTAATGTCTGCCTGGGTAGAGAATGGGGCTGTGGCCCATCTGTAGCTGCTTTTCCATCCCCGCCCTGGTGTGTGGAAGTGGGGCACTGAGGAGTCTCTGAGCCCAGCCACAGGCCCCCGCAGGATGTCAGGTAAGGGTGGAGAAGCGTCCTAGGTGGACGGCTGGTGTTGCAGGGAAAAGACTAACGAGGTGGAATTGAATTGCAGGCCCATCATCCTGGACCCGGCTGACCCGACAGGGAACCTGGGCCTCAGCGCCCGCTGGGACCTGCTGGCCCAGGAAGCAGCAGCCTGCACAGAATCCCTGTGCTGCATGGGCAGGGATGGCGCCCCCATCCAGCCCTGGCCTGTGAGGGTGAGGACATGGGGCACCCCTGGCCGTGGCCCTGCATGCCACCATGCCTCAGTTTCCCAGCCAGTCATCTCGGTTCAGCCTCTACAGGAAGGCTAGGGTGACTGACATCTCCTCTAACACCCCTCCAGGCTGCCGTGTGAGGTCCAGGAAGTCACCCTGTGTGGAGAGAACGGACAGCACCCCTCAGCAAGGGGAGACCCAGAACACCCGCCAGCTGTGTCCAGTGTGTTCATGCCACCCTCCTGTCTGAGCTGCTCCCACCTCCCCCATTCCTCCCCACTGTCCCTTTCCCTTCCCTCCCCTCCCCCACCTGACCCCGTGGGAGGGGAAGTGGCCATTCTGTGATTGTTTAGCAATGTCTGCCTGGATGTCAAATGGGGAAGTAGCCACATATGGCTTCTTGTCTGTCCCTGCCCTACAGTGTGTGCCTGGGGCACTGGGCACCCCAAGCCTCACCCTGACTTCTGCATTTCCAGCTTCCCCACCACCCCTGGGCTCTCCCCTACTTCCACGGCTGCACGGAGTGCTCTCCTTCTCCCTGATCATCTATCTGTCTGCCTTCTAGTGGCCTCTGCTCCTCCCCAAAGATAAGCACTTTTTTCAGAGATGGCAAAGCATCTCTACCCATTTTTCAGCCACAATCAGTGATACAGGTTGCTTGGAGCAGTGTGTTCTGAAGGGTCCTGAGGAAGGAGCCTTTGGCTAAGAACAACAACCTAATCAGCTAGTGATGTCTGCGCTGGATGCAGTAGAGGAAACTGGTGATACAAGTGAAGTACTTGATTAGTAATGTCTGAACTGGACACAAAAGAAAATCTCACAGACCTAGTATTGCCAGAGCTATCAACGGCCCTGAGCTCAGTTGCCTGGAATGGAGCAATGTGGGGTTGGCTCACTCTGTCTGCCGCAGATGGACATGCACACTATGCAGACTTTCTCCTCCTTTGCTGCCACATTTGTCCTCTAGCATTCACTTCTTCGTGTCATGGCCTTTGTTTTTTGTTTGTCTGTGGGTCTTTTGTGGCACTTGGATTCGAGCCCAGGCCCTTCACATTGAGCTGTATACTCAGCCCTTTTTAATTCTGAGACAGCCTCTTGCCCAGTTGCCAGGCTGACTTGAACTTACAGTCCTCCCGCCTCCGCCCCCGTGCGCTGAGATTACGGGTGTGTGCTGCCACATTTGACTTGATCTGGAAATTTTTCTGCCCAATGCTGGAATGTCACCGTTCAGGTCCTGCGTCCCCTGAGCCTGAACCTGTGCAAGACTCAGTCACCAGTGTTCACCACCTTCCTTTCTGCCCCCTTGGCAGCTATACCAGGTCCAGGGGTGGGGAGCCCCTGAAACCGTAGCCAGCACCAGGAAGAGCCTAGGCTCGTCCCAGAACACAGAGAGCCCTGCACCCAGGAAGGAGCTGACGTATATCATGGATAGGTGCAGAAGGCAGCAGCCACTGCTGGGCTACTACCTCCAAGGTCAGAACACCGAGCCACACCCGAGGCCAAGGTGCTGCTGCCACCGCCGCCTCCACACCTCACGGTGGACAGAGTCAGGGCTGATGCTCCCTTTTCACTGCCAACTAATATTCCATTGTGTGGCTACACCAGTGCTGGTTATCTATTCACCCACAGGTAGGCACATGGGCTGGACACCAAGGGGACTTCCCAATGTCCTTTCCCACTGGGCTTCCCAGGAAGTCACTGGTGATGACCACTGCTGAAATTCTAGGCTGTGAGAAATGCTCCACATACTGGGACTGTAATGAATGACTGGTGACATTTCTGCCCAAGGATATATTTGCCTACCTGCGATAGGGTCAGTGTGAATGTTCTGCTTTGGGTGCCTGCTCTGTGCCCATGTCATAAGACATCCTGTCCCCAGGGCACCCATGGTGACTTAATTAAGAGTATAGGGACAAGGCATAGTCCACAGTGTTCATTCATACCGTTCCTCAATAAAGCACTCAGGAGCTTATGTAGAAAAACCAAGGACAAATATAAAATAATCTGGAATGGGAGGGATTTCTTTGTTGTTGTATGCATTTTCTTGACATTTTGAATTAATTTAAAATAAACTGTTTTTTGAATGACACATAAAGTGTGGGCTTCGGACACGAGTGACGTTGGGAGCAGAACCCAGCTCGACCGACCCCTGGGGGCTGTGTGAGGTGGCCTCAGTGTCTCCACCTTTCTGAGTTTCCTGGGCGGGGTGAGCACGGGGCCCGTGTTCACCCATGGCAGGGGCAGAACCCGAGTTCAGGGTGGCCCCTGCCACGCTGGGCGCCCTCAGGCCAATCTGCCCCCTCCACATCCATGTCTTCCCTGCTTCCCTGGGTCAGAGACCCCAGCTGTGGAGATGGAGGGAGGACTGACCCACCTGAGATGGCTCCGGTCTCCCACCTGGCCGGGGCCATGCGCTGAGCCCTGGTCTGGCCGCCTCGCAGAAGTCGTTTCATTTTCATGGGCACCCATGAGAAAGGCCCCATGTCCCCCATTCGACAGATGGGGACGTGGAGACACTGCAGGGTCCTCACGTGCTTGAGGACTCACCTGGCCAGCTCGGCTAGCTCCTGGGAAGCCCTCCTCTGGAGCCCTGGCAGCTGCAGGTGGAACCAGGGGATTTCCGAGGGGCTGTCACCACAGCCGGCACCCTGCTGGGGCAGGCAGGAGAGATGTCCCCGGAATTTGAGTTTCAGTTTCCATCTCCCGCGGGCAGGATGGGGCGGGGCTGGGCAGAGGCCTCTGAACTTGACTTTCAGTTTCTGGACACAGAAGCTGGTAACTGCAGCAGCACAGACAGCACGGAGCAGATGCCTGGGAGTTGAAGGTCTGCCACTTGCCGGCACCTCTGTCACCAGCAGGAACATGGGAAGCTCAGAGTCCCGGGTGTCCTCTGTCCCAGCTCAGGAGCTGGGCACATTCATCCAGAAGCAGCTGCGGCCCTATGAGAGCTGTGAGAAGCAGATCCAGGAGACCGTGGGTGTCATCTGCTCCATCCTGCTGGGAGGCGGCATCCCGCTGGTGCAGGGTGTGGCCGTGGTGAGTCCAGGCGGGAGGTCGCGGGGAGGCTGAGCTACCCACCGCTGGGCACCCACTGCACGCAGGCCCCTCAGTGAGGCGGTGGGCGACGGAGCAGGGCCGGGACTCTTCTGTCGGCTGTTGCTAGCAACTGCTGGCGTCCCCTACCATCTGAAAGAGTCCAATCTCATCTGCCATTCTGTCACCCACAGGGTGGCTGCTACGGCAGGAAGACTGTCTTGAGAGGCGATTCCCATGGCACCCTCGTCCTCTTCCTCAGTTGCTTAGAGCACTTCCAGGATCAGACGAAACCCCAGGACGAAATCCTCAAGAGCGTCATGTCCCAGCTGGAGGACAGTCGGAGCAGGCAGAGGCTGAAACACCAGTGGGAGACCCTCAGGACCCCTGGGGGGATCTCAATCAGGGTGTCCACGCCATGGCAGAAGGTCACTTTCGAGGTGCTGGCTGCCTTCAATGCCCTGAGTGAGTGCTCCTGGGATTGGGGAGGACAGCCAAAGGTGGGCGCAGGCGGCCTCTGAGGCCCCTGCACAGGTGGTGGGAGGTGCAGTCCTGGAGCCTTCTGGGGTCGGAGCCTGAGGCCCTCCGGGGAGCTGGTCTCCTAGCGGGCTGCCCGAATCTGGAGCCAGGTTTTCCCACCAGGGTGCACGGGCTTCCCGGAGCCTCAAGAGTGCGCCCCAGCTCTGTGCCACTGCTGCTGGGGCCTGGCCATACCCAAGGCTCCAGAGCCTGGGCACCAGGCACTGGTGGAGGAAGAGGAGGCAGAGCATGCCTGGGGCATCCAGCCCGGCGGCACTCCCTCCCCAAAGTCAGCCTCACCGAGGCCAAGGTCCAAGCAACAGCCCTCCATGGGAGACTGCCAGAGCTGGGGGCAGAGAGGGGGCTCAGACCCAAGTCCTCCCCTCTCCCCACCCCCTGTGCCTCCTGCCCCTACGAAGGTCCCCAAGGTCCTGCCCACCACAGGCCGGGTCCCTGACCTCCCTCTCCTCACCCAGGCCTGTCCCCCTCTCCTTCTCTGCTTTGCCCTGGCCAGAGGCACTGCTCCCTGCTGCTGTCCACAGCTCTAAGCTGTCTGCCAAGTGCACACGTGCCTCTGCCGCTCACTGCCTCACCCGCGCTGACAGCTCCTCACTGCCTGGGAGCGGACTCCTCGGCGGGAGGGACGGGACGGCCCCGCCTGCTTGCCTCTCCAGCCCTGGCATCATACTGAATGTCGTCACACTTCACTCAGCTCCGGACTGTGCCCGTGCTGTGTCTTTGTCAGGAACGTTCTCTCCCCAGCTTTTCCTTGTGGAGAATTCCAACTCATTTGTGTCCTCTGACCTCAGACATCGGATTAAACCCACGTCCTCTGGGCTCAGTAGGAATTTCAGCTTTCTTGGTCATGGGATGCATCCCTGATGCAAAATAATTTTTTTTAGCTTTCTCCTCTCATAGACTGTGAGCTCCATAAGGATGGGTACCATGGTTATATTGTTCTTTTCTGGCATCTACTACAAGGTTCATTACTAGTACTTGTTGTTGGATGGATGGATGGATGGATGGATGGATGGATGGATGGACTGATGGATGGAGGTGCAAGTGGGTGAGTGGGTGGATAGATAGGGGGATAGATGAGTAGTTGATGAATGGAAGGATGGATGGGTAGATAGATGGATGGGTGGATGGATGGATGGGTAGATGGGTGGATGGGTAGATGGATTCATGGGTGGGTGGATGGATTCATGGGTGGGTGGATGGATTCATGGGTGGGTGGATGGATAGGGGGATAGATGAGTAGTTGATGAATGGAAGAATGGATGGGTAGATAGATGGATGGGTGGATGGATGGATGGGTGGATGGGTGGACGGATTCATGGGTGGGTGGATGGATAGCTGGGTGTGTGGATTGATAGGCAGATGGATGGATGGATGGATGGATGGATGGATGGATGGATGGATGGGTGGATTAATGGATAGATGGAAGGATGAATACATGAGTGGATGGATGGATGGGTAGGTAGATGGGTGGATGAATGGCTGATGAATGGATGGGTAAATGCATGGAAGGAAAATGGGTAGATGGGCTGATGTGAACAGATGGATAGCTTCATCGATCAGTTGGTTGATTGGTGGGCAAATAGATGACAGGTGAATGAGTGGATAAGATGCAGCACAATCACAGCTTAGTCAAAAGCACAGGAATACACATATCCACAGACTTGACTAGAAATTCAACCTTTCCTCAAACAAGTGGGGAACCAGAAGTAAAGGAATATATCCAGGGCTGCCTGGCCAGTTACTGACAGAGCTGGAAGAGCAGCCCCGGGCCAGTGTGCTTTCCGCCCTCCACAGTGTTAGGGAATTTCTGGGTTGGGGGGTGCTTAGCGATAAGGAGACACAGGGTCAGAGAACCCCGCACCAGTAGCAGAGGGCAACCCTAAATTCTTTTCCTGGTCCTACCCAGCCCATCAACTTTAAGCTTCCGGGGTCCATGAGGATGCTAAACCGTGTGAGCATGCGCCTGCCTCCAAGAAGGGCTGGGGTCAAAACATGCATGGCTCCAAATTTTCACAGAAAAATCCTGCCTGCTCTCAGATTATTGGAAACGTGGTGGTTGAAGACCAGGTCAGAGCGCCCTCTACTGGGTTTGCCTGATCACGCAAGGACGATGTGAGAACCAAAGATGCTTTTCCCCGATGTGGTACCCAGATGTGACCACCAGGTGGTGATAGAGCTGCACATGCCGAAGGATCCCTTTTCTAGAAGGAATCTGCAGAGGGATTCCGAAATTACTTTCTTTGCTAAACGTGGGTGGGCCTGACTAACCTGACCTCTTCTTTCCAGCACCTTCTGCAGACCTCCTTCAACTCAGTCTCTTTCTCTGCTCTTGGCGTCCCAGTCTTTTCCCGGGGCCTTGCACCCCAAGAACCCGGCGCCTCCTTCCTTGACGTCCCGCAGTCTTCTCCCCTGTGCATCTCACACACTCTAGAAGAGCGTGGGGAGATCCGCGCACGCCAGGCTCAAACTCCCTGACGGAGAGTAAACTCCAAGCCTCAGACTCAGGATTTTTTAAAAAGCTTCATTTATGAAACTGGCTTCTGTCTTGGGCCTGCGGGACCTGCCCTCGCCCTCCCAGCCTCCTCGGGGCCCCCGTAGCCCTGACTCTCAAATAGAAACTTCACGGTGCACTGAGCTGCCCGTGAACCTTTGCTTCCACCTGTGTCGCTCTTTAAGCTCTTTTGGAGCAAGTGCTCTCCTGTTTACGACCTCATTTCTTACCCCCTCTTTTCGGTCTGGGGATCTTGTCTTCATCAATACCGTACCATTTTCATTACAGTCCGTTTATTTACTTCTTTAAAAATCTCAAGGGGGGGG